TGCCAGGTCTCAGCCACCACTTTGCTCCTTGGACTTCCCCCATGCCCCAAGGATGCCATCCTCTCAGAGGCAGGGGGAGCGAGGCCAGGCAGCGCGTTTCCCCAGCTCTGCCCGCAGCCGATGTCCTCCATGTGAGTCTGGAGGATTAGGGCACATGCAAGGAGCCAGGAACTTGTCTGCAGCACAGCTGTACAAGAAGAGACCTAAGCAGCCTTTGGGGTGCATCTCCCAGGCACTTCTGCCCAAAAGATGGAGAAGACAGAGGGAAGAGCACTGTGGTCACCAGGAACATGGTTGTACCATGGATGGGGATCCTGGGCCAGAAACAACCACGCTGTACCAGTGGGATGCTGAACACGAGCCAGTGGGACCTGCCAGGAGGAGCGGCACTGGACTGATGTGATGTTGGGGTAATTCTGGCTGGATCTCCACACTCTTCTCCTTCACACAGTACAGATGGGTGCAGAGGGATGGACTGGCAGGAGGGAGGAGACAGAGAGATTCTCTGGGCAGAAGAAACATGTTGGTGAGTGGGAAGGTGAGTAGGCATGAGGCCACGTGGGGGAGACAGGCAAAGCAGACTCTGTTCCAAATTGCTAGGTAGTTTTGGGGTTGCCTTCACTGGAGAAGTCACAGAAGATCCCAGTCTGCAGGTTTGTAAACTCAGCCTGGCCACCCACCTGCACGCTTGAGCCCTGCTGGGACCCTGGGGACTTGGCTGGTCCCCACTGGACATGGTAGTTCTCTGCAGTCTTGTGTCATTACTGATCACTTAAACACTAATGCTCCTTCAGCACGTGTTGATGAGCAAGCTGTGGTGGAAAGAGGTGCAGGAGTAGATATTTCATGGACCGCTCAGTGTGAAGGAGACCTTGCTACCTTGCCCTAAAAGCTCAGAAAATGAATGATACACAAGTCTTGTGGTGCGTAACGTATTGGGGTGAGGGTGAGCCAGAGCACAGTTGCGTGACTAGCTCAGACCTGGCTGTCATGGTTAGAAAAGGAGTCTGGCCATACTGATCTTACCGTTTTTACAAGCTGCCAGCTCCAAAAGCTATGTCCTGGGCAGTGGGACTGCCAAAGCTGGAATCTCTGGGCCCCTGGGGTCTGTTGGGCACACTGGGAGGCAGGAGCAGGCATGGTGCTGGCAACCACTACGCTTCGGTGCTTTGAGCTCTTTGGAAAACCATGAGCATCATAAAGAAAACATCCAGGTCCAACCATGTGTCCGGCCCCGGCAGCAGGAGGACAGGAAGGGACTGGCATTCAGTGTGCCCACGTTGTCCTGACTGACACGTGAAGTGCCAGGGGAGACAGGAGTCAGTGCTGGAGGCTGGTCCCCAAAGCTAGTCCTTATCCCCGCGTGCTCAGACGCAGTTCCCTGCGTGCCGGGGATGCCGTGCTTTGTGCTGACCCATTACTTCACCCTGCGGAGTGAAGGAGCGGGAGGCTGAGGTTTGGCAGCAAGCCGGGGCTGTAATGGTGCAGATGGCTGCCGAGAGAGGACGGTGTGTTCCTCGGGGACCATCCATTACGTTACCCAACTCCTGCCTGTCGGGGAGGCTGTGCTCCTGGCTATGTTTTTCCTTGCTGAGATGATTTGCCTTTCAGGCTCCTTAATGAACTCTTTCGACGGTTCAAACTGCCTTGCCTTGCTCATTGGAGCAGCGGTGTGGTGTGGGGCCCTTTCCGAGAACTAGAAAGGCGTGAAACGCAGCCGCAGGATTGTCCTGCGTAAGGCAGCGGAGAGCCCTCAGGGGCAGCACTGATACAAACCTCAGATATGCTGTCCCCGGTCTAGCGGGGCTCAGTCTTCCTGCAGGGACAGGAGAATTGCAGCCATCCGAGAAGAGCTCTCCTGAGCTTCTCCAGGCTAGTGTGTCCCTGAAGAGGTTCTCAGGAGCTTTTCTTACACTCCAGTTGGCCTGAGCTTTCCCCGAGCTTCAGTCATTTGTCTCAGCTGAGGATCATAGAATCATAGAATGGTTTAGGTTGGAAGGGACCTTGAAGATCACCTAGTTCCAACCCCCCTGCTGTGGGCAGGGACACCTCCCACCAGACCAGGTTGCTCCAAGCCCCATCCGGCCCAGCCTTGAACACCTCCAGGGATGGGGCCACAGCTTCTCTGGGCAACCTGGGCCAGTGCCATACCACCCTTAAAGTGAAAAATTTCTTCCTAATATTTAATCTAAATCTACCCTCTTCCAGTTTAAAGCCATTCCCCCTCGTCCTATCTCTACATGCCCTTGTAAAAAGTCCCTCCCCAGCTCTCCTGTAGGCCCCCTTTAGGGACTGGAAGGCCGCAATAAGGTCTCTCTGGAGCCTTCTCTTCTCCAGGCTGAACAACCGCAACTCTCTCAGCCTCTCCTCATAGAAGAGGTTCTCCATCCCTCTGATCATCTTCATGGCCCTCCTCTGGACCTGCTCCAACAGGTCCAGAGGCTTTTGTTGGGGATGCAGGTTTGCAGGATCACCAATGCCTGGGAAGCTGATTTTGGTACCAGGGAGGGGGCTGGTTTACAAGGAGACCTGCAAGGATGGTGACAGAAGAGCAGCGGGTGGGTAACACCCACTGCGGGTGCTGAAACCCAGAGCAGCACTTCACCTTTCCTTTGGAAGAAAGACGCAGTGCTTAGATACGGCATGTGCTCCGGCACGGGCTCGGTACCCTCTCGGCAGGCATGGGTCGCACTCCCGGCAATGCCTATGTCAGGTTTAGACTTGGTCCCTGTCAGGTTTGGTCTTGGTCCCTCTTGGCTGGGGCTCTTCTCTTTCCCAGGCGTTCCCGGGGCAAATTCAAACCATCCTTCCCGTTGGATCCCTGCCTGGCTGCAAAGCCAGGGGGTGGCATCGCCTTACCTCTGTCCTTGAGAGGCAGGGTACCACTCACCTATCCATCCAACACCGAAGCACCTCGCCACCGCCCTCGGCAGCACCCCGGCACGGCCGGCTCGGCATGGCAAGCTCATCAGGAGCGCCGTGATAACGTGAGGCGACAGGGCCAGCAGCAGCGGGGGCGCGGGGAGCGAGGGCACGGGCCAGCGGGGCCTGTCGCTCTGCATCCCGTCGCCTTTGCCAGTCGCCGAGCAGCGGCCGCGGGGTGCGCAGCACGTATCGCATGGCGCTGCGTGCGAGGTCGGTGTCAGGAAGGGCGCCGCTGTCTCAGGATAGCTGCTCTCCCAAACGCTCTCCCCTCCTTCGATGCGTGGCGGGGGGGGGGTTGACAAGTGCTTTGGACACAGTTGACTTTTTGCTGAGGAAAAAAAAAAATCTTCTTGTTTCCTGGCTGAAAAAGTTGAAGGGACGGGTGCTAGTGCTGTCCTGATGCCGCAGGGACTTTCCCCTCCCACCAGTCGCAGGGCTGCCAGCAGCTCGTGGGGCTGAGGCACACGGCTCAGGAGGAGGAAGGTCTGTGAAGGGTCCTGGTCCTTGGTTTTGGGTTGTGTCTGAGCTGCGCTCCTGCCTGCGGGCTGACCCCGGCATCCCCCATGCTACAGGGAACCGCGTGCTCCCGCTCAGGCTGCGGAGGGGGTGGCGGTGACTGGGAGATGGGGGGACACCCCTATCCCTCTGCAGGATAAGGCAGGTGTTGAGGGGGGGAGGGCATTGCTGGGGGCAATGGGGGAAGCAGCGCAGGCGTCCGGTGAGGTGGGGGGGCGGGGTTTAGCCAAGGACCAGGACAGTCCAACCCTTCGCAGGTCTCCCCCAGGTGCCTCTCGCCCGCATCTAAATCCCACTCGTCCCTACTGAGGTCTGGATGTGCCCCTTGTGTTGGTTGGTGCTGCTCCCTCCCCAGCTCCCAGGTGTCACTGAGGACCTGCCCTCCTGGGGACAAGTCACTGGACCTCCTCTCACAGCAGCCCCGGGCCATCATCGCCATCTTGGCACATTTAACCCCCTTGCCGAGGTCACCCTAACGCCGTTTGATGGGAACAGAGGCTGTGAGCCCGGTGCGAATCGCCTGGCTCTCTGTGCCGGGTTGGCAGGAATTCGGGGCTCCCTCAGACCCCCAGGCTGCGACCGCCGCAGCCATGGGTTGCGGGGTGGCTGCACGCCACTGCCCTGCAAGGGCAAGGAGACACTCAGCCCGGTGTGAGCTTAAAAAAATAGGCATTTTTATTCCAATGTAACTAGAGAATTACGACCCAGGAGAGGAGAGGATTACTCACATTTATCGATAGGCTTATTAGATTACTGCCTAAATAGCTGTGCTTTAGCAGCGCGTTCGTCCGCCTCAAGGAGAAACGGTGAAGGAAGGCGGTGCATCTGAGCCCTCATCGTCCTTGGTGGCGTGGGGAGCGCTGAGCAATGCGGGCCGGGACGCTGTATCGCATCACCTAATCCTGCCTTGACTATTTACAGCTTCTCGGGAGGCAAAAGCTTGTCACGTTCGCTTGGCTGCGTAGCTGGTCAGGCGCTGAGCTCCGTCCCTCCTGCGTGGCCGCTTTTGGAGAGGTGGCACGTACCCACCTTGCGGCAGGGTGATGCTGCCCCCGCTCCCAGCCACGGCACGGTGATGGGGACCGGCATGGGGTGGGAGGGGACGGTGGCACCACCATCCCCGGGGGCTCTGGCATGAGCGAGGACACTGCCCCACTCATCGTGGCTGTTCCTTGGCCTGGGGGTTCCAAGGCCGTGGTCCCGGGTTGTGTCTCCTGTGCCCAGAGCCACGGCAGACCGCTGTCCTGGTGTCACCACCGGGGAGTTTGGCTGCCCGAATGAAGCAGAGGTTTCTCTGGTGTGCTGGGTTCATCAGCATTACCTTTGTGCTAACGAAGCTGTTGCCAGTGGCTTACGCAAGAGGCTCTTGCTGGGCACCAATGTGTCTCTGGCCCAAAACCCACCAGGAGCTCATGGCTGAAGCAGTTGTGGGTGATGCCGATCACCCTCGTGGGTCACGGTCAAGCCAGGAATTTGGGGTGCCTGATAATCCTGCTTCTAGCAGTGATGGAGGAGACCAGTTCTCAGGAGGCTCCGGCACTCTTCCCAGCTCTGCCCTGCTACGACACGATGGGGGTGTCCGAGAAGACGGAGCTGATGGACTCCGAGTCTGACTTGAGCTGCAGGACCTTGGGGTGCTTGGCGTCGGGGAAGTCCTCGCCGAGGGCCAGGCGGATCTTGCCATTCTGCGTCTCCCTGATGGGCTCGAGGAAGACCACGTGCTTGTTGGCGCTGACCTTGCGGTTTGGCCCATCGGTGGCGGGGGGAGTGGTGCTGAGGATGGAGGACTGGGCGCTGCACTCCTGCGGTGGGCTGAGAGGAGCCGGCTTCTTGCAGCAGCTCAGGCAGCGGCAGGGCGTGAGGTACAAGTAGATGAGCACGAGCACCAGGCTCACGATGCACCCCAGCAGGGTCGTGAGGCCGGTGCTGAAGGTCTCCCCGTCTGGCTTGGGGTAGTGGACCGTCACGTTGACTTCGCAGAGCCTGCTGAAATTGCGGGGGCTGTTGATGGCCAAGCCCACGTAGACCCCCGAGTGCCAGGGCTTGGCCACTGCAATCTTCAGGCTGCCGTTGCGGTAGACCTCCAAGGAGCGGTTGCTGTTCCCCGGGTGTTTGATGGGCTCGTGGTGAGGGGAGATCCACATGTAGGTGGTGGCCATGGCCGGCAGGCTGGTGTTGCAGGCGAGCAGGAAGGTCTGGCCCACCATCACGGGGAAGGGCACGGGGTGCACGTCTTCGGGACCTGCCGAGCAGTTCTCAAACATGTGGCTGTATTTGAGGAACTTGATCAGGGACCGGGGCACGTTGTCAGACACCTTGCAGGTGTGTTCCTCAAAGAAATCCTTCACGGAGCTGAAACCTCGCTGCTTCCAGCGCTGGAGCATCAGGTAGAGCGGGCAGCTGCACCTGACGGGGTTGTTGTGTAGGTACAAGCCGTTCCTGATGTTTTCGGGCAGAGCTGCCAGCTCCTCCACAGGGATGCTGCTCAGGCTGTTGGAGGAGAGGTCCAGCGTGCGGAGGCTGTAGTTGCCCAGCCCCTGCACCGAGTGGAAGGGGAAGGTGGTCAGGTTGTTCCAGCTCAGGTAGACTTTCCGCAGGCCGCTCAGCTTGGCGAAGGCGTTTTCATCCACGCGCGTGATGCGGTTGTTGTAGAGCAGCAGCTCCTCCAAGCTCACCAGGGCGTCGAAGTAGTGCGTCTCGACGGCCTGCAGGTGGTTGGAGGACATGTCGAGGTGCCGCAGGTAGGAGGCATTGTGGAAAGCCCGCGGAGAAAGGTCCTTAATCTGATTGTGGCTGATGTGGAGGGCCTCCAGGTGCGGGAGGGCGGCCAGACAGCGGTCGTGGAGCTGGGTGAGGGCGTTGTGGCTGAGGTCCAGCGTGGTGGCGGTGGGCGGCAGCGCCCGGGGCACGCGCT